AAAGGGCCTAGGATTTCCATGCACTCTTGGACTCTTGTGCTCACCCTTAGCAGGTCAAGAGCAGGTCTCAAGTTTTCTCCCGGCAGCAAACTCTACCACAGTCCACTGCCCAGTATGGCGGGTGTGGGAAAGGAGGACCTGGTGGCCCAGTGACCCAAATGAATAAAGGAGCCTCTGGGTGACCCTGCCTGACACTGCCCTCTGTGCTTACTATGCACATGTAAGCATTGTTATTTCATCCCTATGGTGGTTTTCTTCCACCCTGATTTCTCAGACATTCTATCCCGGCTTTCTGTTATCTAAGAATCCCTAAGATTTTTCCAGTCTACTGATAGTATTCATTTTTGTGTGTGGTAATGGTGTTGCTTATTTTCCATCAGACATTTTTCATGGCAGGCAAAAGCTCAGAGAGGTCTAGCCCAACAGGTGCTGTGGGTTGCTCTTGGATGGTCACCCTTGTCCAGCCCCCGCTGACCTTGCCATAGACTGAGTAACTTTATCTGGTCTAAGCAGTAACAGTTGGATGGGTAAACTTATAATCCTAAGGGATAATTTTATGAGGTTTGGATTAAGAGGGGAGGGTCATCATTTTCACCCTGTTTCCTCCCTCTACTTGTAATTACATCATCCCCCCTTATCCACAGAGGTATGTTCCAAGATGATCCACAGATAGACAATATTGTGGATAGTACCTAACCCTGTGTATGCTTTTTTCTCTGTACATATATATCTATAATAAAATTTAGTTCTACATTAGGCCAATAAGAGATTAGCAATAATTAATAATAAAATAGAACAATTATAGTAACTTACCATAATCAAAACCATTTAAAACATCAGTTGTTCATTACTGGAATTTTCCATTTAATACTTCTATACTTCAGTTGACTGCAGGTAACTGAAACATGGAACAGACTGGGCAGGGCTACTACAACTACTTTCCTTGACACAGATCAAGAGGAGTTGTGCTGTGCACACCTTGTCTTACTTAATCCTCAGTGGAAAAGATGGCAGAATGTAAGCCCTGATTCCCTCAGACCACAAAACAAGATCTGGCCCATAGCACGGCTGACATCTCCCTTGAGTGCAGCCTGAATTATAAGAACTACTATGCTCATTCATGCCACGAGCTGTAATGAACTCCCACCCTAATAATAATGCCATCCTGCATCTCTGCTACATTTCCAATATAGACAGTGGCGCATGTACAATAACCAGCTCAACCTTTACTACAATCCTGTTTAGCATTACCATTTTAGAGATATGGAGGAAAGGCATTAGACCAGTTGGGCAACTAGAACATTCACTGTTTAGATCTCAAATTCAGTTTCTGCTTTTAATCCAATGCTGCCCTTTGATACTGCTTCTCTAGAGAAGAGCAGTGTAGAGTTAGGAATAGTTAAGAAAATAACACTCATCAGAGTATGCTGCAATTTGCTGCAGCAGTGGGGCTATGTGTTACGTAAGGACGAAGGTTGGTAAGCCACTTTTACCTGGGAGCGGCGATGTCTGAGCTGAGCTCTAGGCTGAAAGAATATCCCAGGCTACGAGAGGAACATGCAGAAGGTCTTTGGAGGCATGAAAAGGCACTGAGTTTGAGGAATAGAGAGTCGCCCAGAATGGCCAGAGCAGAGAACACGGCTGTCAGGAAATGTGGGAAGTGAGGGGAGACAGGTAGTCTGCAAAAGCAAATAAGACCGGCTTTAAAGAGCTCTGTGTGGTGACAAAGGATCATTTCTAGACAGCTGGAGTGTGGGGTATTTGTGAGTTCCCTGGAAAGACAAGGCTTTGAAGCCACTGAAACCCAGGAAAGAGCACTATTTGAAGGTGAAGATTGTAGGCTTCATCATTATACATATGGGAGTGGGACATTTTGCTGAAGTGGCGAAGGTAGAACCGAGCTTTGGGGGTGCAGTACAGGTTGAGGGGTGGACCTAAGAACAGGTATTGAGAGGAAATATGTAGGAGAGCGGAAAGAGAAAAGGACAATAGGCTGCAAAGGAAGAACTCAGGCAGTGCTCAGTGAGGCAGCTGGTAAATTGAGTATGTTCCAAAAATAGCTGGAATGCTGCCCTCCTTACCTCTCTTCCCCACCCTTAGCACAGGTCCTAAGACTCACTGGGGTGGCTCAACGGTGAAGTCGAACACAACCGTACATTTTTAGTATATTGCATCGAGAAGTTTGACAGTTCTTCCTCATGTTTTAAATCTTGGATGAAATAGACATTTTTAATATGATGAACTTTATAAATTCTAAAGACAGTGTTTTTTTAGAAAAATACGGGTAGAGCAATATGGATCTCATATTGACAAATAAACACTCCTCCTAACACATAGAGATCTGATCCCAAAGTTCCACCTGTGACCCTCTTTAAGATTCTGGAGCTGAATTCCAAGCCTTTCTCTTCCTGGCTAGGGTATTTTTCTCCCTCCATCCCAGCCCACTCCATGGAGGCAGGGAGGAAACTTGGTGACTGTTTTCTGCTTTAGCCAAGCACCTAGGAGTGTCTCATGCTATTTGCAGCTGATGGCAAGTAGCAAGAACAGCAGGGCTGCTCCTTGTGCAGAAGAGCTGTAATCCTATTATGCCTACCTTAAGACTTTCACGTTAGCTGCCTCTATGGTAGTAGATGGACAGAGGTGATTCCATTGACTTTTAAATCCCCGAGAGTCCTAGTTTCAAAATCCCCATGTCTAAGTCAAGTAGTAGATTAGGCCTCTTGCTAAGAAGGCCCGGCTCCTCCAGAGCCCCTGTGGCCACAGCTTTTCTTCAGTGTCTTTCTGGGACCCATACCTTCTGGGTTCCACCATTAAGGACTAGATTGGTATGCATTTGTATCCTTCGGTGGTGATCCTTCGCAGGAGGTAAACCTGGCTGACATCTCCCAGGTCACGGATTTAGTGTCTGTCTTTGTGCAGTCAGGATTAGGAAACAGATCCTCCAGTGATTCTGTAGCAGAGGGATGTCAGTTTTCTTTTGTTCAGTTAAAGCTGTCCTTGTGAAGGTAGTGTGCAGGGTATACAGTTTTCTTCCTCCCCCAGCCTCTGCTAGCTCTGTCGGCTTCCCCATGCGATAGTAAATTTACAAAATTACACAGTCCAGCTAGCCATTTTAGAATATTGACAGTCCAGTTCTGATCAGTCAGAGTACTGATCCAATAACTGATTAAGTTCCAAGTGTAATGTGCTTGACCAAATGTCATCCTTTATTGGTATGTTTGTTTAACTTTTATGTATATTGGTCAGCTTTCCCATTGTTGGGTCAAAATATCTGATACCCACAAGTTAAAGCAGGAAACGGTTTATTTGGCTTGTGGTTTCAGTTCATGGTCAGCTGCTCCAAAGCAGAAGCATCCAGCCAGAAGGGTGTCATGGTGCAGGCTGCTGCTCATTTCATGGTGGCCAGGGAAGCAGAGCACAGGGAGATACCTGCAAGAGAGATACCCTCCAAAGGTGTACTTGCTGTGACTCATCTCCAGCTGGATGCCACCTCCAGATGGCGCATGCAGGATTAATCCATGGATGAGTATCGCACCCCCCTGACCCAGTCACCTCTTCAAGAGACTCTTAATCCAGTTGAGTGAGCATTAAAGATTAATGGCCAACTCTGCAAGGGCTTGAGTTTTGAATATCACTTTGCTGGATTTTTTTTCTCCCACAAATAAATATGTGGAAGTTTCACTTTCACTGCTTCCTTAAAAAAAAAATCTCACAAGCTATCTCTAGGGAAGGCGTCACCCCCAGGTTTCAACTGAGGTCAACATTCTTGCATCACAGGGTCGGTAGGTGGTGGCACCTACCTATCAAGATTAGAATTTGATCTTCAAACTAAGTCTAGTGCTCTGCTCAGTATCTCAGCATCTTTTAAAAGAAATGCTTTTAAAACTATAATGGAATAATGGAATACCATCCAAAGCTCATCAAGGACTGAGTATCTAATGCAGAGTAACACTGAATATTGTCATAAATTTCTAGAATTTTAAGACAAAAATGCTTAAAATAGACTTGTAATAAATAATGTTCATGACTACAGCAGTTAGCTGAGAGGAAATACCATCTATCCATCAATGCATAGACTGTCTGTCAGTTGACTTCTGAGCACTCTCAGGATTAACAACCCATTTATCTTTAAGTTTCAAAAACATATTAGTTAGGCTTCCTTATATTGCAAAGAACAAAAGTCCAAGTTACTGACCAATCCTATCTCTCATCATTAATATAATTAAATACTACTAGTGATTCCAAAAATAATTACAAGACACAAAAGGTGATAGGCATTCTCTCAGTCTTCCCATACCCTAAATGTCCATAGCACCCCATACCTCATTTCACACAAACACTAATTGTGGACAGAGCGGGTCCAAGGAGCAGAGTTTGAGAAATGTAGACACACATCTCCTGTTTTTCCCTCTTGCTAATCCCAGGAATTACTATTTACATCATTCTCAGCTCATATCATTCTTATCTCCTCAGGGATGGACAAGAAACATGGAACCTTTATACATTCTATATTTGAGTTCTCTAAAAGAAACCAACCATAGCAACAATAGCATTAGTATTTTGTTAAGCTAAAATATCAAATGAGATCCCAAGAAATTTACATCTAATATCAAGTTGATTAAACTGTTTGTTCTTCATGGTGTGAAAAGACAAGTTGGGTTATTTTTTGTTAAGATGACAGTGGAAAGCAGTTTGTTAGAGCAGCCATCTACAAGTTGACCAGTAGGCCAGCCCACCTACGTTGTGAGTAGAGGTGCATTTCCTCTACTGAGACTGGAAGAGAAGGGATCTTGTGAACAGCAGATTCCTCCCATATCCTTCCATCAAGGAAAATGCTCATTTCAAAAATACCTTTATATAAGGATTATAATGGCACAATCTCTCCTGCTGTCAGTACCATTTTACATAGAAGGAATCCCTGAGCGTGTTACTGACCCTGGAATCACTTTCTTATTTGAAGCTTTAGTGATGCCTTTTTCACTATTGTTTTTTCTTTGTAGACCTGGCCAGAGGACTGTAGATGACCTAGAGATTATCTATGAAGAGCTCCTTCATATCAAAGCCTTGTCCCATCTTTCTACCACGGTAAGTCTTGTCTTAGTTGAGCTGACCAAGGAGACCCTAAGATAAATGTGATTAGGATTTGGGGAGAATGTGATGGTGGTGGTGAGAGCCTGAACTCTTGCCTCATAAGTCTTCCTACAGATAAGATGCTAAGGAAATTATGCGCAAGAGCAGTCACTAAAGGATGTCGAGTTCCTAACAGTAGTGCATGTGCTCCAAACCCCAAGGCAGTCTTATGTAAGTAGGATTAAAACATGTGCTTCATTCTTCTGAATATGAATTTTGGGACCTGCGTACTCAAACAAGAAAGCCAAGTTCTGGGAGGGTCTTGAATCCCTTCCTTGACATGTGGCACCAGAGAGAGAGAGGAGAGAAATCTAATCTAGTTGTCCTGTCCTGGCTCATAGGGCCAGCCCCACCCAGGCTTGGCCCTCCTGGGAAGGGAAGTAGACAGTTCAAGAGAACATCTGTTGAAGAGGGCATAGGTCAGGGCACAGTGTCACTCACTACCTACTAGTCAAGCATGGCCCAGTGGCTGTCTCTGACTCAAATTAGGGTTTTTAGGAGGCAGAATTACTGGCTTCTGAATAGGGATAGAAACATCTCTTCTGAGAGCAGGACGCCATTTGCCATGGCCCCAAGCAGAAGGACTCCAAGCCCTCTTTTCCCCTCAACCCAGACAAGACTGCTTTCCCATCCTTCACACCCCTGTACCCCTGGGGTCAGGAAGCTCACTCACTTACCTGGACTATCCAAAGGATTGTCCCGCTGACCTGCCACTGCCCTTGTTATCCTCACTCTGCATTGCAGGGTAGGTCTAAGTGCCTGGGTACCCCCCATATGTATAGGCAGTGGAGGGTCCATAAGCCTCAGTAAGAAAAGGCCCCGTTTCCCTTGCCTGTGCTCGAGGTACCCAGCATGCCCCTCTTCCGACTTCTCTAGTCTTGGTGCAGTTGTGAGTAGTCTCCTCTTCTATCTCAAACCCCAGTTCCTGGGCACTGTGGAAAATTCTCAGGTTATTTGTTCTTAGGCCTATCATTTGAGACCATAATTTTGAAATACTCTTTAAAATTAAATATTAGCTAGGAAGAATTTGGAATTTTAGCTGTTGTGGAATGTAAGTTGGCTGGCTTAATTATTCACCTTCAAAGCATTCAGTTTCCCAACATGTTTGCAGTGGCATGCTGTATTCTGCTGGGAAGAGCCACTAATAGCAAGAGAGTCCTATGATGATGTGGACACCTCACCTTTTCACAAAGGCACAAGAAAGTGACAAGTTGCTAGTTAGTGCATGTGAAACCATGTTTTAAATAGTCTCTAACAGGTTGTCTGGTGACATTAGCTTCTGCACAGGCTTTGAGATCATAATAGTAAAGCTAGTGAAAGGGGTTCTGTATGAGCTAGGTGAGAGACAGCTGTGAGGAAGCAAAGGAACAGTTACATTGAGTCCATGAAGTCCCTTCTGCACAAGCGTCCAGATGGAGACCACTACGAAGCAGCCCTGAGCAGGACTTATATTAGCCAATTGGCTTTTCATGTTTACTTGTGAGTCACTTGTCCCTACTGAGGCCTGTAATGGTGGGTGAAGCCAGGAGGCCTCAAAGGACAAGAAAAGGCCACAGCTGAGGACTTTTGGCACCAATCCCAGTTAACTAAAAGGAGAATATAGCTGCAGCATCTCACTCCTGCAGTGAAGGCCTTCCTGAAGATAACAAGGTCTCCTAAATTAACATAAAGTGTTACTTGGAGAAGTCCTTAGAGGGATTTCCAAATCCTGCCCAGATTCCGGCATTTTCTTCAGTATCCCCCTCCTTTGTTTGAAAACCTCATAAATATGGACTGCCCAGGGAAGTCTTGGTCTTAACCCAGAGAATCTTAAATTTTGTAAAAGAGTTGGGCCCTCCTGGAACCCTAAAATCATTTCAATTGTCTCATTTATTTAAGCCTTCACTGTCCACTTGTTTGGGAGATTGCGGACCTGATCATCCCACAATAACTAAGGGTTACTAACTCGATAGCTTCCCAAGCCTGGCTTTTCCACATTCTTTCTTTCTCTCCTAGGTGAAACGGGAGTTGGCGGGTGTTCTCATCTTTGAGTCGCATGCCAAAGGAGGAACTGTGTGTAAGTGAAAACTGTAGTGGCACATGGTGCCAGCTCACAGTCTCTCCAGCACAGGCCATGGAAGCCTGAGGCAGACTCTCCCCTGTGGGATCCTGGTCTCACTGGGCAGGATGTCGAGGAGTGGCACTTGGGCTTTTGTGGAACTGTGATTATTCCAATGTGTGCCTAATGCCCTGAAGTATAGTAGTTTTCCAGCAACCACATGGATAGCTGTGGCCAGGTCTCATTTGCTTCCTATCTTACTGGCTCATGACAGGCATTAAAGGGTGTGGGATGAAGTCGCTGCTCTTTGAAGTACGTCTTACAGTGACCTCACTTAAGTTTGGGGCTTTAGAACCGAGCTATCAAGTAAGAAATTAAAATTTGACCTGGACAGATGTGAACAGTATTATTTAAGTTAGCATTTCCCACTAGTCCTACAAAATCCTGCATACAAAATAGGAAGTGAATGATCTGAGAAGGCCAGGCAACGCTGCTTCCTCCAATCTCTGCCGTGGAATCATAAGACACATCAGCATGCTGAAAGTTTCTGCAATAAAGAAAGATGATCACTATATTTACACTGGCACTTTCTAAATCTACTGACACATAGAGTACTTTTTTAATGGTCACCCATTAAATTGCCAAGAGATGTTGTATTTTGGAAAATCTTGCTCTTTCATCAGGATACATTGTGATAGTCAAGTAAACAGTAAATACGCATTATAAAAGCAAGAAGTATTTTAAAAATTATATCTCAGTGTGCTTTATTTTCAACCATTAAGAGTGATATTTCTGACCTTGGTATAGATTTGAAAGAGAATGTTATTTATATTTTATAGCTCACTTTGACATTTTTTATTTTGATGGTCACTGATGCCTAACAAGTTCTCTTATATTCTTTTAAGCCAAAGTAACTGTTTGCATTTTATTATGAAATATTTAAATGTTTCCAATGAAAAATGGAGAATATTGCAAATAGCCTGTTAGCCTTTATCAAATACTCCCATTATGCCACGTTTATCATATTTTCTAAAGAATGAAATCACACGGTTCCAGTTATAGGTATATTTCCTCCTTTATCCCATTCTTCTCTTCCCTCCCAATGGTAATTCCTACCCTGAACATGGTGGTTATCATTCCAACTCATTCTTTAAGAAAAATATGTAGGTGTATATGTATAAACAAAACATAGTACTGGCTTGCATGTTTGCACACTTCACATTACCGGTCAGATTACTTTTAAAAACTGTTTTCTATGGCATAACATTTTCATGAATTGTAGGGGAACGTGCATTCCTTTAAGAAATGGGTTGGTGGTAAATTGGTGTCAGATAGAAACCTGTCTTCCAGGGCACAGAAAGTATTGCAGTCTCTCTTCCTTTCATGTTCTATAGAAAGAGAGATAATATTCCACCTGAATAATTTAGTATTCGCCAGTAATTTTTTTTTATGTATGTGTAATTCTGAGGACTTAAAAATGATGATTTGATAAGCTGTAATTTATATTGATGTGCTTCTATTCTTGTCATAAATCTTTTTATCTTTTTGTGTCTAGTGTTTAACCAGGGAGAAGAAGGTACCTCCTGGTACATTATTCTAAAAGGATCAGTGAATGTAGTCATTTACGGCAAGGTATATATATTATATATATAATCTTCTTCTTTTTGGAACTTTATTATATTCCACTACATAATGCTACATATATTCCACTAATAGTGCTACAATTAAACTTGCAACAATATTGTTACTTCATGTAGAAAGCCATTATTATATCCTTAACCCAATTTTCTTAATTATTATACTCACAGTAGTATTATAACTTTCTTGGGCTCATCTCCTTATGGATTATAATGTATGCATTTAAATTAGGTCATAGACCATATTACTCAATGAAAGAAAATTTAAGCATTATAATTTACTTACATAATCCTACTTTGGCATCTCTAGGTACAGCTAGCTCATTCATATATCCAGTATTTTTGTAGTCTTGTGACAGGCAAGGGGTTGTTTACCATTTCACCTGAATGTCCTGCTCTCTCCAGGGTGTGGTCTGCACTCTGCATGAGGGAGATGATTTTGGCAAGTTAGCACTAGTGAATGATGCTCCCCGGGCTGCCTCTATTGTCTTGCGAGAAGATAATTGTCATTTCTTAAGAGTCGACAAGGAAGATTTCAACCGGATCCTGAGGGTGAGTCCAAAGCTCAGTGTGGCTGAGAAATGTCCCATTTTCCCTTTCCCAAGTAAGCAGAGCTCCAGTTGAAGTATTACTTGAGTAGTACCGGGATGAATGCGTGCTCCAGGAACAGAGTCTATGTTATAAAACAGGTGCATTCCACATACGGGGATCCAGAGATGATGCTCCCGGGAAGCTGCAAATGCAGGATGCTATGCCGGGTCCCTCACCTCCGCACACAGCTGTCATGGTCCATCAGAATTGGCAGCGAGTGGCAATTGCCTTGCCAAAATTTCACAGTGTAAGAAGTTTCTCTCTGGCATCCTTTTTATGTTCTTTCCCACCCTACTTTGCAACATAGTGGCATCCCCATTTGCCCGTGTCTGTCTCTATCCGAGACCTGACTAGTGTCCATCTCCTATCTCTTCCCAAACCTGAACCCTTCTCATACTGTCACACACTCTCTTGACTTACTGATTGTCTGCCTGTTTGTGGGAATTATTACCAATGTGGTTGCTCCAACCAAGCATTTTCATTTTGAGTATTTGATCTCAAAGGGTTTCAAATTGAAGACATTGGAAAGTAGGTAAAGAGTTGTAGAGATAGTAGAGGGAGCTGCAGAATTGGTCTTAAAGTTGGTTCTGAAGATGAGCTTCCTCTTAGCTTATTTCTTTTCCCACTATGCAATCCCTGGTCCCTTGGGAGAGCTGACCCCGCATTGACTGGTAGGGCCTCTGATTATGGACCATTGAGGATGGTGACACTGTCCGACCACCCTTGGCTACTCAGATGGCCTGGCATCCTTCCTGTTCTACACTGAGTTCCCTAGGATGGCTCTGCTCTCTCCCCTGTCCCACTGGCTACCAGATAGGTCCCTTTTTCTCCTCTCCTTGTGTGCATACCACTCCCTACACTGCCAAAAGCATTTGCCTCTGCTGGCAACATTTCTGACGACCAAGTTTGTCTTAGGATTGTAATGCCTTTATACAAAGAAAGTTAAATTAAAGCTCCTACCATGAAATAATATAGGAAAAAATACCACATGCAATTTGACTTGGCTCTTCTCTCATCCCTTTTAAGATGGAGGCCAAATGTAAAGGAAAAACACATTAAATTTTTAAATTAATTATTTAAAATAATATTAAAGTTTAGAAGTAAATTTCACTAACTCTTTGAAGTTTACACATGTGGAGTTTACAGTCAGTCAAATAATTCTTTAAAAGAATCAGATTAAGGTCATTTAGCATTGATATAATGTATAATTCAAAATCACTGAAAAAGGCTTTTAACACATTTCAAACTGTTGTTGTTTTTTTTTTTTAAAAAAAAAAAAAAAAAGGTCTTTTGAGTAGAAATAAAAATGCCACTTCTAAGGAAACTCAGAAGAAAAAAGAACTTCGCCAAAGCTGAGTGCCCCGTACTTAATGAAGAATAAATGCCTCGTCTTCCCATTACACAGCCCCTCTCCCAAAGGCCTCTTGGCGCACAATCGCACCACTCTCCACCCATCAGTTTTTCTGAATGTAGAGTAAAAGCAGAGTTTTAAAAACATGCTTCAAACCTCATCTGGTCCTCTCTCTGACCACCCTCGCCCTTGACTTTGAAAACGAGTTAATTTGTAGACGCAACAATTAGCATGACAAGCACCAAATGAGTTTCTAAAGCATTTGAAATTTTTTTCATTGTCTGAGTAAATGACAGCATCTGTATGTGGTGTAATTTGTATTTGCAGGACGTTGAGGCGAATACAGTCAGACTTAAAGAACATGACCAAGACGTCTTGGTACTGGAGAAGGTCCCAGCAGGGAACAGAGCTTCTAATCAAGGAAACTCACAGCCTCAGCAAAAGTATGTTTGCATCCAACACTGTAATTGCCAGACTATGATTAACCTTTTCACATGGTATCATCATTTCTACAATAGCATGTTCTCCCTTTTTGTGGAAGATGGCAGTGTGTGTGACTTTTCTCTCTCTCTATTGACTAATCACACATCTTGTAGAGTATAATGTATCCATTTCTGGCTCTGCGTTGAGTTTGGTGCTGCCTAGAGTAATGCTGCAGAGAATATTCCGCTCTGAAAACCTCTCTCGGTGCGCACTGTTCAACGGTAACAGCTTCGGAAAAGAAGGTGCATGGGAGAACAATATTAACGCAGGGCGGCTTAAAGGGTATAGGTCCCTCGGTGATGAGACTCCAAAAGTCATATGTAGGATTTCTCATAAAGTGTTTTCATCTTGCTATCAGAATGGCCATCTTTGATAGAAACCCAGATTTTAAATAAAAAACAGTACTGATTGCACCTCAGAAACATTCATTGGCCTTATTCTTAGGTATGTCTGCTGATGTCCCAAGGGGATTTGCTTTACATTTCTCAGGTTTCCTGTTTAAATTGAGTTTTCTTTGGTTTCTCTGGGTTCATTTCCCACTTTTCTGCAACTTCCTATGTAAGATTTTTTTTTTCATCATATATACCAGCATTTGAGTGTAAAACAGGAGAATTAGAAATGTGGCTGTAAAAAACATAGTGAATAGCAGAATTGGAGTTTTTAAATGAGGATAAATTTTAAATTTGTGTGATAAAAACACCAATTCTGTACCTAGAGACATGTCACCAAATAATATGCTGAAAGAAGATTAATTATAGGAGTTTTCCTTTGTTGCTGAAGAGTAGGGTTCCCTTTATCAGGACAGTCATCGTAACTAGAGAATTTTTATCGTCCACACTAAAGCCTAAGGTGCAGACATTTTCATCTGGATGAGTCAACATATTTGCAAGAAGGGCAAAAAGAAACATATTACTAAGTAGCCATAATATATTTTCATACGTGTTATTTAACCCTTAGGACAACTCTTTTAGAGGATAGAGACATTTAAGCTCAGAGAAGCAAGTGACTTCCTTGCCCAAGGTCTCAGACTTTAAAATGAGAAAGTTTGGGTTCCAGTTCAGTGTACCCCATTTTCACACCTGTGCTCCTTCTGCCTCCCAGCTTACAGTAGCAAAATGCAATCCAGTTGACACTTCTTACTGTGGGTTCTGCTTCACAGAATCAACCACTTGCGGGATGAGAATGTTCAGAAATAGTTGTGTGTACTGAACTTATACCAACTTCGTCTCCTCGTCATAAATCTCTAAACAATACAGAATAACGACTATTTTCATAGTATTTATATTTTACTAGGTATAAGTAATTTAGAGCTGATGTAAAGTTTATAGGAGGATATGCATATTTTATATGCAAATAGCATGCTATTTTGTATAAGGGATTTGAGCGGCTGTGGATTTGGGTACTTGTGGTGGTCCTGGAACCAGTCCCCCGACAAATACAGAGAGGTGACTGTATATAAATACTGCATCCTCAACAGCATATACAAACACTACATCCTTAAATATTGCACACCAGGACTGACATTCAAAAGCTCTGTAAAAATCTATCCTTTCACTTACAAAACTATAAAATTACCACCCAGTTTTCTTTACTATTTATTTGTCTTTTACTATTACCCATTAAGTAGTACATTGAAAATGTTCTTGTCCCGGTGTTTTTAATGAGCGTCCTTCCAGCCCACAGAGGAGGATAAGAATGAAAACTTTTTGGGGGTGTAAAAGTTTTGGGGTTTCTCCCAGTGATTTTCTTTGATGTCCTTAGATATAGTTGGGTGGGTAATCTGCATTCTTTAATAATGCCTCAGCTGTATCCAAAAAATTATACTAACTGAAGAGGTAGGGCCAGAGAATTGTCCTTAATATGGAAACATTTTGATCAAGAGATCCCACAGGGGCCCCTTTTCCACCTCTTCAGGTTATGGGACAGGATCAGAGGCGTTTGTCTGTCAACAGTGTTTTCCACTAAAGGTTTCCTCCAAATATAGGCTGTTTTTGAATTGCGTTTTGTTTTATGAAATCAAACTAAAAGGGCTAGAAGAGATCATATATTTTAAATGTATTTTTGGCCTCTATGTGGTTATCCCTCAATATACTTATTTCTGTCCTGTCATCCAACCCAAATTTGTAATATAATTCAAAAACTTATGCATGTTCACAATAAATCATTTCAGAAGTATCACTGAGTACAGAATAATGCCCTACACAAAAGCAGTTCCTGGAATGAAAAGCCACTCTCTTCAGGGGTCATTTTCCACTTAAAATTTGTCCACATCCGACCGGAACTGAAAGGAAGGTCCATGAACATGAATCTTGAGCTGATGTTGTAGACAACTTCTACAATGTGCCAACAACCGTGCCTGTGGATGTAAAATTTGAAAGCTGTGGGCACCTGCCTCCTCAGAAATTGTTCTTTTTGAGCTCAGAAAACATCACCACGTTGGTGCTGCTAATGTCATTTTCCTGATTCATTTTTTTTCTCTGAGGAATCCGGAATAGTTTATGTTTAAACTTTCAAACTCTGCTAGGCACTCAACTCTGAGTGTGACATGAAAGTGAATGACAAGACTGTCATGAAGAATAAAACTTTTGCCGTCATTGATCTCCCCCTTTCTCTGAGGTTATGCGGGTTTAGTAAGAATTTGGAACAACTGTACGTGTTTTAGTTACTGGGTTATTTTTTTCCCTTATTTTCCCATTGCTGATGCTGCACTGGTACTATCAGCATGATTACTGATTGCCTAAGACCAGGGCAGTCACCCATTTGGTCACTGTTTTAACCACCACATCATCCAGACTCCATCTTGTGTGCAGAAAAATAATTTCCTTCTACTCTCCTACCACTGGCTTTTTTTTTTGTTCCAGATGCAGATAAAAGGATCCACACTTGCAAACTTGGTGTTGGGAAAAGATTTTTCCATTGTAGGTTTAAAACCTCCCGGCTCGTACAGCATGACCCACTGGTGATGCGCCTTTAACTTGCACCCCTTCAGGCAGTAATCTGACAAGAGCCCTGCTGTCTGGCCTCAAGTGGCCTTGACCTCACTTAAACAGAGGACAAGCAGTAAGCTGCCTGGCAGTTCATGAAATAAAACCTTAATATGGGGTTTTAGCCAAACCCAGAGACCCAAGATCACAGATGACTGTGTCTGCCAGAAGTTTCCAGGCTGTCCCTCTTCAGGGTTCCCAGTCCTCAGAAAATGTCAACACCTAACAGCCTTGGAAATTCAGAGGCTGGGCCAAGACAGCCACTAGAGGGCGCCTCTGGTTCCAAATAAAGAGCCTGCAGCGTGGCCAATTGGCCAGGTAGACAGAGCTTACAGAGGCTACTTTCTCCTTAGTGGGGAGAGAGGGTGCATGGTTTAACCAGGCGTGATAACTCAGAGATGTTCAGACAAGGGACATGAGAATGTGAACTTAACCTGCTGTCCGAATCACACTTTTGACGGGAGAACAAATTTCAAACTGATGCCGCGTTGGTAAATTACTAGCAGTGGCTTCATGAAGCCATGTGAAAGAATACTTTTTCCTTTCCATGCGGTTTTCATGTTAAGCAATGCATTTATACACCTATGTAAATAAGAATTCCTTTCAAAATGAAACAAACAGAAAAGGCCTTTTTGAGAGAAAAGTTTTTAATTACATGGAAAATTTCCTGTTCAGGGTGAGCTCCAGGCTAGACCAGGCAGCTACCTCTGGTGTATCTCTGTATAGGCAGAAAAGTTCCCTGAAATACACCAGCTCTCAGAAGTGAGACAGACAGGCTCACACCTCCCTTAGCTGAGCAGTTTCTCCCTCTGCAAGATGGAGCTAATATTTAACGAGCAGGGATAAGTATGTAAATCTTATCCAGTGTCTGGGGCACGGTAATCCTTGCACAGATGTGTAACGCACCCTCCAACACCATTTCCTGTTTCATGTGACCAGACGCTGCTCCTCTTGCAGCCCATCGGGGGCGTGCCATTACAGAATTCCAGGAATGCCAGGAATGACTGAAGGTGCTGAGAAATAGTCTCCACGGAAGTGTCCAAAGTCATTTGGAGATACACCCTGCCCCTTCTTCCAATATTCGTTGTCTCCAGCAAGCAAAAACATTGTCTTCTACCTTGCTTGCTTTGAGAAAGGGGCCATGCTTTGGAAATAAAGGTTATTTTTTCTAGGAGGTCCCTCTTCTCCTGACATTCCACAGCCAGGTTTCCTCAAAGATTTAACCCCAGCTTCCCTTTGGTTCAGTGCACTCCCAGGATCATTTTAGCTACCAGCCAGCTCCCATGAAGACACACAGCACTTGTTTCTTGCTCAGTCCCAGGCTCACTCCACTCACCCTCTGCTTTCACATGCACAGGGTTGCGTATGAACCCATAAGACGGGAGGTTATGACCCCGAGATGTCATATGCGAAAGATATTCCTGGGACCTGCAACTCTTCCTGCAAAATCTCAAACAGGCGAGGGAAGCTGCAGTCTCCAGAGCTGAACTCTGCCACTGTTTTCTGAACAGATGAGAATGTTCTTTTCATTGTTACTATTCTTTCCTGTCATTTTGCCTTCATTGAAATGCCGAGCAGAAAAGCAAAGGCGAGTTTTGGAGAGAAACACCAAGATCATCTCAGTGTGTTTTGCCTGTAGCTCTCACTGTTGGTCACCATCTTGACCATGACTGAAACACCCCACGTTCAGTTTAAAAAATAAATCTTCCCATGCTGATGGGAGAGCACTCCGGTTGGATCTCTTCAAATAATAGCTAATGCACTCCCAAATACTTTGCATTTGACATTTAAATAAATCAGATACATTTTTGTTTTTTGTTTTTTTTTTTTTTTGTTTTTTTTTTTTTTGGTTTTTCTCCGGTACCGGGAACCGAACTCACGACCTTGCGCTTGCCAGGCAGGCGCTTTTGCCGCTGAGCTAAATCCCCAGCCCCATATCAGATACATTTTCGATTGCTTATATATTTCCTATTTATGATGCCTCTGGAGTTGGTGTGTTTCTTCACTGATGTTTGGGATTTTGTTTTCTTTTCTCTTGTTTTATTATTAGCTGTATTTCCAAGGCACATACCAGTGTACAGTTGGGAAAGACAGAGCATTCCAGAAATAGGCAGGGGAATCCAGTGTGAGACTGAAATTTTGCTATGAGTAACCCATATATGGATAACAAGTTCACTGTCGTTCCCCCTCCTGAGCCTGCACTGCCCTGGAATTTATATGTTCCTTTTCATTCCGCTTTGGAACAAGGCTGAGGTTTCTTAGTTTCCAGACTGCTGGTGCTTCTCTCCAAGAAGTTTACTTTAGTTCCATGTAGGGAAAAAAGAACAATGTTTTTAGTAACTACTTCAATAGGTGGTTTTCCTATTGTGTGAATTGGGCAAGGTACATGGTCTTGCTTACCACGACGGGTATATTGTTCACAAGTATAGCCCGTATGGCTCCCTGGGATCTCAAGTCAAATAATAACAACAAAAAAAAAATCTTCAAAAAACATTTTATTAATGATTACCCCTTTTGAAAAACTAATGACATTTTTATTTCTTATCCAGGTATACTGTGATGTCAGGAACACCTGAAAAGATCTTAGAACATTTTCTAGAAACAATTCGCCTTGAGCCAGCTTTAAACGAAGCAACAGGTATGCACACTGTACAATTTTGTATGCCCACTAGATCCATACATAGCATTGAAAAAAATTCTGACATCACTCTCAATGTGTATGCCAAGGCAGCTTTAGAAGTGGGTTAAAAAAAAAAGAAGTGGGTTATGTGTTGGCATTGAAAAGCATCCTGTGTGGTTTATACAGAAAGCAGTGCTTCTGCCTCCTGCACTCTTTCTCTCGAGCCTGGCTGTCCTCCCAGATACCTCAGTTTCATTCATACGTATCAGAAGTAGCATTCCATAGGCATCTCCTGTTTTATCATTCTATCCCACCTTCCAATGGCATTGATTAGGTTAATGTAAACTGTATCTGTTCCCATAAGGCATTTGAAATTGCCTACCTAAAGGGTATGGATACACCTTGCTCCAAATGAGAAAAAAAGATTCTCTTTGCAGTTACACTTGGTCCAGAGTGTAACTAAACACCACCCACACTGGTTTGCAACAGCTGCTCTAACAGAGTTCTACAAACTGGATAGCTCAAATGATACAACATTTGGTTTTCCCAGAGTTCTGGAGGCTGGAAGTCCAAGGTGAAGGTGATGGTGGTGTTGCTTTTCTTCTGAGAACTCTGATAAGGGACCTGTTCCATACCTCTCTCCCCTTCTAGTTTCTCATTTTATAATTTGGTTATCAGAGGAGTTTTTTTAAGGAGCAAATGAATGGGAGAGAGTGAGCCAGCATCCTTGGCTGTTATGCTTTAGATCAGGAATGTCCCCCAAAAGGCTCATGTGCCCACAGGCAATGCCTGTGGATGATGACTGGATCGGGGGGGTCTGTACTCAGCAGTGGAATCATTCACTGGTGAGTTCCGCAGCTGAGTGTGCTCTGAGCTCTTAGAAGGTGGAGCCTCGCCGGGGAGGTGGGTCACTGGGGGAGGGTATGTCTCCCTCCCTGACTCCTTTCTATCTCTGTTTCCTGGCCGTGATATGAGCAGCTTCCCTTCTCCAGACCGTTCCACCATGCCCTTCAGCCAACTATGGACTGAAAATAAACCTCTGCTTTCAGACACTGGCTTGGGGCACCTTATTTTCAGCTCACTAAGTTGGATGCCATGGGTTAGGTAGAGTGAACAAGAGTCAGCCTCTTTTGCTCAGGAAACATAATCTGCTACAGGCCATGATGAAATACGTAAATAACTTGAATAGAAGGCAGAAAGTGGTCAGTGCTTCAGGGGTACAGACTGGCCAAGGGGACCTGGGAAAGTGTCACAGTGAGTACAGCCTTTAAGTAGCCCTGAAAGAAAGCTGGTAAGTAGTACTAGGTGGGACCGAACGTTCCATACTAAAGGACATTATTAGTGCTGACACTGAAACAAGCAAGGAATAGCTGGCAGTTGGTATTTGCTGTACTGTCATACACCCAGGTACAAAACGGAAGGTAAGGTCTAAGAATTTGGGGTACCAATCTTATAGGGCCTTAAATACAAAACAAGGCACTGGGTAGTAGTTAAAGATGTCTGATCAGGGAGGCTGTGGTAAGAGCTTTGTTGGGGAAAGGATACTCTGCATTTAGGGGCAAAAAACCGTTAAGGGACCAGTTAGGCAGGGATTTCTTCCAAGAGGCACACATAACCTTGAATAAACGAATAAATTTCCAGGACTGTAGGTCAGGAAAAATGCAGTTGATTTTCCCCATGTTTAATTGTTTGTCCAGGATATGTGATTGCATAATGCAAGAAACTGAGCTTTCTCTAAATGAATACTGTCCCAAAAGTAAGAGACTGGCACATTAAGTAAGAGACTGGCACATTAAGAGACTATAGCATCTAAGAAAAGGCATATAAGATCTTTATACCCGTGAAAAGGAAATACAATTGATTGATTCTCAGAAGGAATTGGAGCCTAGAAATCATTGTGTTCTGTGGCTGGCATGTATGGTGTGATTCCTGATCTTTCCTTTCTTGATGCTAGAGGTAAGGCCAACATAATTAGTATCAAACTTCATTCCCTGCAGTTTTCTGATTATTTTTGTCCTATAAGTAATGTTCATGCCTTGGAAATAAGGAATAAATCAATATCTTTTCTCATAAATCAAAGATACTAAAACTAATATCACCACTACTATCCTGAACAAAAGGAAATAATTCTAGTATAGATACAGTGCCTGAAATATGAGTATAATAGAATAGAAGACCTTTGACATTTAGGAGTCTACAATACAGTGAGAGATGTCAGAGTTATAGTGAAACTTGTTTACATCATGATTTCCTAGGCTTTCAACTTCTCAATATGATAGTACATTTTCTTAATTTACCAAAATATAAATTTTTCTACCTAAGACTTATTAGCTTCCTAGACTTTCAGATTCTATGACCAACATTAGTCATTGAGTGACTAGGACCATTTTTGAGTAGAACATGATTGTTCTAAATACATCCTCAAGAGTCATTCCAGGTGAATAGAGAACAAGAGAAGAGTGTGGTCAGTGCTAGGTAGCTGGCCATGCCAAGTGACCAGCTACCCTGCCTTGCAACACCCAAGTCAAATCTCTGAGTTAGAAAGTTTTAAACTATTATAGGGCTGGAGGTGTAGCTCAGTTGTAGAATACATAGCCAGCATGTATGAGGTCCTAAATTCCAACCCCAGCACCACAAAAATAAATCGTCTTAAAGAGATACAGAGCATGGGCCCTCTGGGTGGCATATAAGCAAGCATTACCTCTCCTATCCTTGGAGAGTATATAAAACATAAAAAGATGACTCTAGATATTAAACTCAGACAAGCAACATCCTTTTGTAATTTAAAAGAAAGCTTCATGCATCTTCTGTCTGGCACCTTCTCTGCTTTTGTGTGGTTCAGTATGGTAGGACTGGAATGGCAGGGCACTGAGTGATGACAGCTGAGATTACATGTTTGAATGAGTACGTTCATGTTTTTAATGAAAATCCAATGACATCTTGAGATCTACCTTCCAGGAAACATACACCTGGGACTTCTGGATTTGTCTGCATGTACTTTCCTATCAATCCTAGTGGGGTGGGTGTAGTCTTCGCAATAAAAAACCTGCAACAACTTCAAGATGAGACAAACAAAGCTTATCTTTGGGAAGCAAGTGCCTTTTTTCCCTTGCCATCCCCCACCTCTTGCCTTCTTGCAAGATAGCTTCAAATGTGGTCCAGGCATCACTTTCACCTATTGGATAGCTTTTGTTCTCCTCCAGTGCTGCGTACAGCCTGTATGGTATCTGCTTTTGCTGCTCCCCCACCCCTGCTCATCAATTTTCTCTGCTTTCCCTACCTCCTTTTTCTACGATCCTGTCACTTTCTTACCTCTCACTGTTCCCTCTGGAAATAAGGAAGAAAAAAAGATTTTTTAAAAAACTGTGGTGTAAGGGCTGGGGATATAGTTCAGCGGCACAGAGCCTGCCTGGTAAGAACAAAGTCGTGAGTTCAATTCCTGGTACAGAAAAAAAAGAAACAACTATGGGGTAAAGTAGACAAAGGAAATGACCAGGTATTAATTCTGTGATTATGATACCACCCACATATGACTCTTTAGTTATATATATTTTAAATTGGGGTTGAAGGTATAATTCAGTGGTAGCGTGCTTGCCTAGCATACCTGTGGCCTTGAGTTCTATCCCAACCTACACACACACACACACACACACACACACACACAAATGCTTTGGGGGCAAAGGCTGTCTCTTGTTAAAATAGTATACTTTTGTCCAGTGTCCTAAGAATTTGATTTTTGATCTCAAGCTCTGTCATACGAAATGCTTCTGTATTCAGCAAAATCATGAGTATGAGAACCAATGGCCAAGAACAAATGAATCCTTTTACCTTCCTAAAGATTTCCACAAGAACCTTATGTCCTTTTCTACTTTTTCCTCCCTCCAGATTCCGTTCTAAATGACTTCATTATGATGCACTGTGTTTTTATGCCAAATACCCAGCTGTGCCCTGCCTTGGTGGCCCAATATCCTTTGGTTCTGGTAAGTCCCTGCTTCTTCAGTGAGTGCGGCCAGTATGGACCTCACTTTGCCCTCTGTGCGTAGCTCGTGGCCTGGGCAGTGTTGTGTTTTCCACTCTCTTCAGATGCTGAAATATCACCATTTTCCCCTGTGTAGGCTTTAGCTCTCCCGGCAGAGGTCAGCCTTGCCATGTTTAAGGGTTTCCAACTTATTACCTGTGTGGAGAAGTATGAACCAGCTTACCTCATCTTCTGTTGCTATAACAGAATACCTGAGATGGAAGTTTATAAAGAAAAGAAGCTAATTTAGCTGGTGGTTCTGGAGGCTAGAAGTCCAGGATTGGGCAGCCACTTCTGGCAAGAGCCCTGCCCCATGTCATCACATGACAGAAAGTCACAAGGGAAAGTAGGCATGTGTGGAAGGGTCAAAACACAAAAAGCAAGCGCCTTAATAATGACTGGTTCTTACAGAAACTAACCCAATCCTGAGAGAACAAGAACTCACTGACTCCCATGAGAACTAACCCAGTCCCACAGAGAGTGACATTAATCCATTCACAAGGGTGTTGCCCCCATGACATAACCACCTCTTGAGGTTTCCACCCCCTCTCAACACCTTATGTTAGGAATCACATTTGAACATGAGCTTCAGCGGGGCAAACCCTATGCAAACCATCGCACTTGGAAAGGTGACACTGGCAAGAACTACGCATGCCTAGGAGGACCACTGGAAAGGGCTGGGATATAGAATCTGGGAGTACTGTTAGGGACAGCTCCCTGACCTTGAAGCAAGACTCCATGCCTCTGATGGCTACCTGAAAGATGGACTGTGGTGTGCTTATGTTCTTGCCCTAAGCAAGGTATTAACCAGGTTGCTAACCTGGTGAGATAAATATAGGTTACCAGTGTGAGGTAACTTTCACATTCATCCTAGTCTAGCACATCTTCACCTCCAGATACCAACATTTGTTTGTTTGTCAATATTGTTGCATGGACTTTTCTTTTTTTTTTTTTTTTTTTTTTTTTTTTTTTTGAGACAGGGTCTCACTATACAGTTCAGGCTGGCCTTGAGCTCACTTTGTAGCCCAGGCTGGTCTCGAACTCACAAAGACCCTCCTGCCTCAGCCTCCCGAGTGCTGGGATTACAGGCATGCACCACCACACCTGGCAGTTGCATTGACTTATAAATACAAAACTTAAAATTCTGACAGTTCCTCTAGATTGAGTTTCTTTGGAGGCTGCTTTTCAGTAGTATTTGGAATTGACGAATCAATAGACAGTGTCTGGCACTCAGAGAGCATTCAGAAAACATAGGTTGAACAGAAGAAGTGAATATTGTGAATGAGTTTCACCCTCATCTTTGGGGACCATGTGAAAGTATATTTTAAAATTCTGTTTTATTTTTAAAGCATCAAAAATGTTAGATCCCAAAATACTTCGGCCTTTTTGAGCAGCTAAATATATTGAAAGAGAATGTCTTTATTTCTTTCTTTTTGAGCAATCCAATCAATGTTGGTGTGTTTTTCCTTTTTCAGAATTATAATTGCCCTACCTGATTCTCATTTTCTTGCTCACCCATAATTCTCTTTGAAGGCAACAGAATGTATGAGGATGGGAGATTTGAGATGAATGTATTACTCAGAGGGAGCTGCAAGCGTGAGATTTGGGTGTTTATTTGCCTGGAAACTATCTTTCCAGGTAATGACAGCTTAATGAGACTTACATATATTATATATTCTTTCTGGCTCATCTTCAGTTTTTCTTCAGAAAATTAACACATTCAGGCTCTCTCTGCTCTCTCTTAACGCCATACATGGTGATCATTACTAGACCTTGGAGACTTATTGAAAGGAAAAATACAAACCACCGCTGAGTTCAGACTTCCTTTTTTCAGTGGTTAGCATGTGGGTAAGCCTAGGACAAACAAAACCAAGAGAAAGTGAGACTCAAGAGGGCCAGATTGTATCATCTTTACAACTCAGAGCCCTACATACTAACCTTGTGGTTTTGTGCAGATTCTGATCTCTTCATTTTTTAGTTTGCTCTCTTTAAAGAGTTGATGGAGGACATTCAGATAACTAACTTCTGTTTTTAAAATAGCAGCTCCTGGAGGGAAGGTCCAGGCCGTGCCAGATGGGGAGGAGCGGGGAGAGTGGCATGGGTCGGGGAGAGGAAGACAAGAAAAGTAACTATAGACTCGATCACAGAAGACCTGTGATATCCGGTCCTAATCCCTTTCTCAGGAGACTGGGGAGATCTGGGACAGCTGGGTACAAGCTGTACCACCTGGTACGCTCAGACCACCCCTTCACAGCTGGTCCTGTGAGAGCTTAGATTCTGTTCATCGATTCTATTTTGAGTTAAGTCTGTGTGTCGAGCCGCAGAGAGCATTGACCTGTGCCGTACCGCTTCATCCTTTCAGGATTCTGTTCAGTGAGGATTAGGTGTATTTTACAAGTGTGGACCCTGAAGCCCCCTTCCCCAAAATAGACGGGCCTGCCCAAGGCAAGCGGCAGAGTCATCCAGGCCTTAGGATTCCAAGCCCAGAGTTTGTCATTTTTTTTCTTTTTACAACTTACCTATTTAAAAGCTTATTTAACTTTGTAATGAGTCTATACCCTTTAATTAGAGTTTAAGAACATCTCTTGACAACATTTTGCATGATGCATGCTTCTCTGCTTCAGGTGGCTGAACCAAAGCAGGCCTAATTTGTTGAAACCAAATAAAGTACCTCGTACAACTTCTATTCATCCTAAAGATTCTCGGTGATTTTCTGCATGCATTCCTAAAAATATGTATGTGTTCAGTTTTAATAGTTTCCCTTAAGTGCAAGGCTCTTAGGGGGCCTGTTTTGCATATTCACCTGAAGAGCACAGGCCATCACAGCAGGCCCACGAAGGGTTCTGTCTGCAGGTCAGTCCAGCAGGGAGGGTGGAGATGAGGACTCTGGGCCTATGGACTAACCCAGCCAGCACTGTCAAATGGACAGTAATGGAAATGTTTTATATCTATGCTAGTGGCTCAGTGCCACTAGCCTAAAATTGGTACTGAGAGGAGCTAAATTTTTCATTTTATTCATTTTCATTAACTTAAATTTAAAAGCCACATGAGGCCAGTGGCCCCCACATTTGATAGCACAACTCGAGTCCTTAAGTATTAGGATCTGAAGCCTCAGGCATGAGTTGCTGGGGTGTCACAGCGAGGGAGGATATTGCAGGTGACCAGGAGCTCATCCTGCTGCCTGGAAGCAAAGAGAAGAGCTCTATTCCCACAGTTGTATGTGTGTGAGTGCTTCTGTGTCACACTGAGAGCTCAGGGGTCCGCCTCCTGCCACTCAGGGAGATGGTATGCGAGCTCGTTCTATTACCTATATTCGGGCTTCTTATGCAGGCTATGGTTTTCTGGCCATAAGTAACATTAATCACGTCTGACTAAACCTAAGGAATAAAGGAATTCATTAAAAGATAACGGGGCAACTCCAAGAGCTGGCGGAGTCCGTGGAGATCCCAGGCCTCAGGAAGTGGCCTGGTGGGCAGGAACAAAAGAGCTGGCTGATGGGGCAGATTCACTCCATACTCCTAGGTCCTCTCCTCATCCCACATCCTTGGGGAGGAGGTCCTAGTTGGCCTGGCTTTGGTCACTGCTGACCTCTTGATCAACCAAAGGCAAAGCACTTTGCTGCATAGTCACAGAGACTGTGCCAGGAAAAGGACAGAAAGTACAGAAAGGAATGAAGAGCAGACAGAAACAACAAATATGCATGCCCTGCTTAGCAGCACACCCACCCGCAGCAGGGATGTAGAATGTGAAATTGGCCAAATGAATTAATCCCCCGTTCTTCACGTGGGTACAGGGACAGTAAAATACTTAAATGTGGGCCGCTCCGTTTGTCTGAGTGTTTCCAGTCTTTAACATCTCTGACTTTGCAAAGCAGCCCTGTGAAGAAGTCGGTACTTTTCACTGCTCTTTTTCCAAATCAGTAAACTAGGATAATGAAAAATTATGATTTGCTCAGAGGAAGGTAATTACTGGTACAGAAAAGATTTGAGCCCTGAGCTCATGACACCTATTTCTGTCCTTAGTCCACATTGTAGGTCTCTTCCAATTCTGCTTTTAGTGTGGAAAAAGAAGGTAGGACTGAGGTGAACATTAACGTATCAGGCCTTTTATGTGCTAATGAGAGAGACTCTCCATTCATTAGGTACACATTGGACAGGATTTGACCTGATGAATACAAGTGCTTTATAATGAGTTTTAAAATCATATTTGTTCAACTTCTACACTTGTCATCTTCAGCCTTTTTAACCTTTTTAAAAATCTATATTTAAAATGCAATTCAGTTTTCTGTTAGTCTTTAAAAGAAAATTAAAACCACTGATATATAAAGCCCTGTCACCTCTAAGTATAACCATGGCTAACATTTTGGTGTGTATCCTTCTAGTCATATATATGTGTGTGTATATATATAATATATATTCATATGGTAAATCATTTTGTATGCTTTTCACTAAACGGCATTTTATGAATATTTTTCTGTATCATTAGTACCTCTCCATACAGTTTTTCTAAATATAAACAACTTTGTTATCATTTAAATAAAATATTACAAAATTGTCAGTTACCACAAAAAGAGACCAGAATAATGCACCTGTGTCTCACTACTATTAATAATTTCACATAAAACATTCTAGCATTCTGGAATAAATTCTGGAATGCCTTGCTTTGAGTATTTATTGCCAAATTTCTCACCTATCATCTGAATTGTCTGCTTTATAATTAAATTCTGCCATCTTCTTGCTTGTACATATACAAGCTACCCTTCAATTCAGTAAGTGGTCACAACCAAGCTAATATTATATTGAATTTTAATAACTGTGTCCTTGATTCCAAGGGCTTCCATGTCATTTACTTTATCTTGCCATACTCATTCCCCAAGTGGGAGGCCACAAGGATTGGTATAGTATTTAATTCATTTGACATAAGACAGAAATCAAGGCATAGGGATG